ATCTTGAAAACAGAGATCAAGCAACCAGAGGATTCAATGATAATTACTATAAGATTTAAAGTATTTTAAATTATGACAATAATCGAAAGCAATGGTGCAAGTCAAAAGATAAAAAGAAATAGCTCAATTTAACAGATCTTACTGCATTTTTTAGTCAAACAATAGCAGCACTTAAGAACTCAACAAACAGCAAATCGAAGCAAATACTAACTAAAAGAAATCGAGATTTTCAGATGATTAAAGTAATGAAAAGCTTTGCGTGTTATTAAATACATATACTCACTTATATTTTTCGTGTTCAGTTTATAACAAACTCAAAATTTACTAATTTTTATTTTGTGCTATATTTTATGCTTAAATGTTCTTTGTTTATTCATCTTTACTGTTGATTTGAGCGTTTTTACATGATTTTTGTGCATGGCAATGACTTCAGGAAAATGTGCTTAAAATGACTGGAAACTGCACTTTTTGTTCGGAATCAAGGCTGGGACAGTAGGCATGAATTTGGACATGAAATGCTAACGTGGCAGTGAGTCAGCAACTTCTAAAAAATCCAGTCAGCAGCGTCCAGTTAGAAGATTCAAGAAGATAGATGGACAGCTGGAACGTTTCAAGTATTTTAAATTCAAGTTTAGGAATTATCTTTTTAGGATTTATTTTTTGTATTTTCTTAGTATTATTTTTAGTATTCTAGGGTTTTCGACGGTTATAAGTACCCTCCTAGGGTGTGCCTAACCATTCATCATTCAAATTTTGAAGTTCTTCATTTATGTTTTTATAAAACTTCTTCCTTTTTCTTTTACTCACATTTCTTTTCTTTTTTTTACTTTAAAGCTTTTATTTTAATGCTATGTATGACTTTTGTCATGCTTAGGAAATTTTTCTTTAAGTCGGGGGCTAAAGTGATGATTTAATTCCAACGTGAGAATTGAAAAAGTACTCAAATATTTTTGAAAATCTCTCTCAATTTTGTTTGCGTTTATTTTCAAAATAAAACAATTTTTCAAAACCAAAGATTGACTATGGTCAGGATGTTGCGATTAATCGCGTGGGAGGAAGGATAGACTTATTGAAAGCACATTCGACTTCTTGGGAACAGAACTAGCAAATTCATTGCTAAGAGGGAAATGAGATCTGAATTAGTAGTTATTGAAATAAAAATCCGAGTCAGTTTTCATGAACTTAATCGGTTATTGACCTACAACAAATGATGTTGATTAGATCAATTTATGAAGCCGGAATCAAAGGTTGCACTTGGGCATTTAGTATACAAAGCATAGTCACAAGGATTGATAATTGTAGACAAGTAACTATTGTGAATCCCGAAGGGTAAATATATTTCGATAATTCGAGGAAATTAAATCAAACCGAAAGACTAAGGGTGACTTCTACATTTTGAATATTCTTTTAAACTTTCTTTTAATTTTCTTCTCTTTATTTCCTTTTATTTTACTCGCTTCTTCTACAAACACCCCCACCATTACTCAAATTACTCCATCCACTTCCTAGCTCAGTGATTAAATCAAGCATAAATCAGGGAGTTTCCTTAGTCTCTGGGGATCGACCCTGACTTCTCATTTACTACGTTAAATTTCTTTTATATATTTGAGAAAAAAGTAATTATTTTGACGCGAAAAATAACGCATGTCAAAATGGTATCGTTGCCGCGGACTAACAACAAGTATTGATTTATTTGTTTTTTTGTTTTTAATTTATGACCATGAATAACCCGGGAGTATTACTAGATTTTAACCCGGAGAACGAAGTACAAGCCCGATGAATCCATGCATAAACGCTTCGAGAAAAAAAGTAAAAGACAAGAAGAACAAGAGCTGAGTTTATATTCCAATAACAAAATAACAAACTATCCTTGAGCTAGCTGTGAGTCCTACCACTCAAACGCCATTATGCATAGCATTTCCTCAAGGCGAATTTCTCTTCCAAGTGAAGATGGAGCTTATTCATCTACTTCCCACTTTCCGTGGTCTTCCTAATGAAATCCGCACAGACACTTTCAGAATTCAAAATGGTTTGCTCTAGCATAAAACCACAGGGAGTTTCTGAAGATCAAATAAAACTTATAGCTTTCCCTTTTTCCTTAGTTGATTCGGCTAAGGAATGACTATTCTACTTACCTCCAAATCAGTTAGTTCATGGGCTAACATGATTCAAATTTTTCTTGATAGGTATTTCCCAGAGGCCAAAGCGAGCGAGTTACAAAAGAGCATTCTTTCAATCCGATAAAAGCCAGAAGAAAATTTATATGACTATTGAGAGTGTTTTAATAAGCTTTGCATGAGTTTCCCGCATCACAAATTAAGCAAGCAAACATTACTGCAATATTTTTACGAATGCCTTCTTCCCATTGAAAAGAAGATGATCAACACCACTAACGGAGGGGCTCTCGTAAACATGACTTCGACAACATCAAGGGAATTAATTTTGACAATGGCAGTTAATGCTCAATAATTTTCAAGTGAACTCAGCCGACTGATACACGAGATAAGTATTTTTTCCCATTGAAAACAAATTAGATAAATTTATTGAAGTGGTTAGTTCACTTGTTGTAGGGAAATCTAGAGTAATAAGAACCTGTGGTATATACACGATGTCGGATCATCCAATAGACTGTTGTCCAATGTTGTAAGAAAGAGGAAACACAGAAGTCAACATTGTATGGAGCTTTCTAAGACTTCCCTAGAGATTGTACAATTCGTATGGAAACATATACAATCTGGGGTGGCGAGATCACCCTAATTTTAGTTATGCACAGAACCCGAAGCTGACATTTCAACCGAGGCCACCTCCACAACAATAAACGCAAAAGACATCATTGGAGGTGATGATGGAGAAATTGGTGATTTCCCAAGAGAAATTAGTCGTTTTCCAGAAGAAATTTCAAAGTCGAACTCAATCACGTTTTAAAAAGTTAAATAAGCAAGTGAGTCAACTGACTCAAATTGTGGGAAGGTTTGAATCACGGGAAATATTACATTCTCAAACGGAATTGAATTCGAGAGAAAATGTTAGTGAAATTACCCTTTGAAGCGGAATCATTATCAATCCTGAAGTCCCAGAGGAGAATGACACAAATCCTAAAAAAGAAATGACACTTTCCGATAATGAAGGTACAATTTCATTTCTTACTCCTCCTTTTTCTTCTTCCTATGTGATCACACATTCTCATGTTTCCCCTCCCCATAAAGTCGCGCCACCCTTTCCCTCAAGACTTATGAGGTATGAAAAAAGCGTAGAAGAAAAAGAAATTATAAAAGTGTTCCAGAAAGTACAAATTAACATACATCTCCTTAAAGCAATCTGAAAAGTCTCGACGTATGCTCGATTTTTAAAGGAACTTTGCACCACGAAGAGGAAGTTGATCGGTCACAAATAAGTAAATATTGGAGAACATGTTTCTACGATTTTAACCTGGAAACTTCCACCAAAGATGAAAGATCAAGGTTTGTTCGTCATACCTTGCAAAAATAGGTAATGTTTCAATTAAATGTGCAATGTGCGATTTAGGAGCTTCAATTAACGTTATACAGCTTTCTATTTATAAAATAATTACTAACGAGCCTTTGAATGAAACAAAAGTGATCATCCAGTTAGCGGATCATTCTGTTATCTTTTTGGAGGAAGTGCTAAAAAATATCTTAGTGAAGGTTGATGTTCTCATTTTTCTCACTGATTTCTATGTCATCGACATAGGAAACAATAGGAGGAATACTTGTTCCAAAGTACTTTTGGGCCAACCTTTCCTAAGCATCGCACATACAAAGATCGATGTGAGAAACGATATATTAACAATGGAGTTTGATGGTGAAGTCGTTAAATTTGACGTTTATAAGGCTATGAAATACCCATATCAAGTTGAAATAATTAATTATGTCGATATTTTGGATCATTTAATTGATGAGTTTATTGAAACTAATTTTACTTATGATTTTATAGGGATCTAGAACTTTACTACAAAGAGGAAGAGAGAGAGTTTGAAAATATTTTTTCCATTAATTCTAGTTTATGTTTACCTTCCTCTAAAACTAAATTACTACATTCTATTTTACAAGCACCTGAGATATAATTAAAAAATTGCCAGAGCACTTGAAATATGTCTTTCTAGGCGAGAATGAGACCTTACCGGTAATCATCTCAAATAAGTTGTCTGAAGAATAAGAAGAAACATTGGTGAAAGTGTTGCACACGTATAAAGAAGCTATAGGATGTATTATTTTCGATATAAAGGGACTTAGCCCCTTGACTTGCATCCACAAAATCAAGACTGAAAAAGGACTAAAGTCATCACGAGAAGGATAACGTCGATTAAATTCACCGATGATAGAAGTGATAAAGAAGGAAATTCAAAAACTCTTTGGTGCTGACGTGATCTATCCGATTTCGGATAAAAAGTGGGTAAGAGTTACAATGATCGAATATCAAAAAGGAGAATTAGTGCGGACAAAAGTTCAAAATGGGTGGCGAGTCTGCATTGATTACAGGAAGTTGAACTCTCTTACTAGCAAAGACCATTTTTCTCTTCCCTTTATAGATCAATTGATTGAGAGATTAGCCAGGAAAACTCATTAATGTTGTCATGATGGTTTTTCAGGTTTTTCTCAAATCTTAGTGGCGTTGAAAGATAAAAAAATGACTTTTACCTGTCTATTCGGCACATTTGCACATCGTCGGATGCCCTTTGGCCTTTGCAATACACCAGATACCTTCCAGAGATGTATGCTGAGCCTCTTTTCCGATTATGTGGAAAAGGGCATCGAAGTTTTCATGGATGAATTTACGGTTTATGATAATTCTTTTAGTGAGTGCCTTGACAATTTGACCAAAGTGCTTAAAAGATGCTTAGAATTCAATCTCATTTTGAACTATAAAAACTGTCATTTTATGGTTGATAAGGGATTAATTCTAGGGAATATTGTTTTATATGATGGTATTGTTGTTGATAAAGCCAAAATATATATTATATATGCTCATTACCTTACCCCACAACTGTGAGGGAGGTTAATTTTTTTCTTGGCCATACAGGTTTCTATTGTAGATTTATTAAAGATTTTTCAAAATTAGCGTGACCATTATGTGAGCTATTACAAAAAGATAAAGTCTTTGACTTTAATCCTTAGTGCAAAGATTCATTCAATGTACTTAAAAAAAAGTTAATCATGACACTAGTCGTCAAAGCACCAAATTGGGAATACGATTTTGAGCTTATGTGTGTGATGTATCAGATACAAACGTTGGAGCAGTTCTTGGTTAAAGAATCAATAATGAAACACATATTATCCCCTACGCTTCACAAACCTATGATTTAGCTCAGAGAAATTACTCCGCGATAGAAAAAGAATTACTTTCTATTGTCTTTGCTTTAGATAAATTTAGATCTTATTTATTAGGAACTAAAGTAATTGTTTTTTTATCCACCGATAGAAATTACTCTGCGATAGAAAAAAATCAACAATGAACCACATGTTATCGCCTACGCTTCACAAACCTATGATTTATTGGCGCAAAAATCAGTCTCGATCCACCGCTTCGAGAAGATTTCCTTAGATTTACCTAAGTCTGAAATTAATCGGTTCAAGCGAGAATCATGATATTACATTTGGGATGATCCTTATTTTTGGAAGCAATGCTCGGATCAGGTAATTAGACGTTACGTCGCTGAGGAAGAGGTAAATTATATACTTTATTTCTGTCACTCTTATTCATGTGGTGGTCACTTTAGACCAAAGTGTACCATTCGTAAGATTCTGGAATATGGTTTCTTTCGGCCTACGTTATTTTGTGACACTTATTTATTTTGTAAATCTTGTGAGAAGTGTCAACGTGCAGAGAATTTAAGCCGGAGGAATGAATTACCTCAAAATCCAATTCATGTCTGTGAAATTTTTTATGTGTGAGGACTTGATCACATAAGCCCTTTGACTTTTACATTTTGAAATGTTTATATCATTTCTTATTCATTTTTCATCGGACGTCGTCCATTTGTAATTTATCTTATTTTTTTCTCGGAAAAAATTTTTATTAATAAAGAATAACCTAATTCGTATTCTTTGTTAAAAACCTTCCTAGACCTAAATGGAAGAAAAGAGTACTCACGGCTAGAGAAAAAAAAAACGCAACAAAAACCACTCGGAAAGAACCAACAACGTACTCACCAAATAACAACAAACACTAGTAAACTCTCATCACAACAACCGACTGAACTATTGCATGCTACCAACAAAATGGCACTGTGCAGCAAGGAGAAAACCATCCAAGCACCTTTCTCTTGGTTCCAAACACCAGAAAACTCTCAATCATGGCATGTTGCTATGAACACTAAGTGAAAAGAAAAATATAATAATGAGCGCTTTGTCCTACGTTCTGAATAATATATGGATTTATATTTTAATGCAATGACACGGTATAAGTTCTTTCTCTTCATACTCCTACAATTGTATTGCAGCCTCCACCGAGATCTTCTCATTAACCTTTGTCAACCACCATTCGACAAAATAAAAAATTACCTCCCTATTCATTCAACCACTGATTTAATCCTCGGAAGCTTTCATTGGAGGGGTAGCATTCGTATTGACTGGTTTTCTGCCACTATTCACTCAAAAACAGAGGGTAACGAGCACAATGAAGATTCACATCAGGCTGAAAATTGGAATCTTCAATAACCAAAAGATTAGTCACCTCCACTCTAGATGAGGACAATGAACCAAAAACAACAACAAGACTTGGCCACCTCCAAACTGGATGAAGATAATGAATACAAATTAAAACCAACTGAAAACAAAGCTGGGATACATATTAATCTCTAGAGCAAAAGAACCAAACACATCCACCCAGAACACTCCCAATGCTGTAAGATTTCCTCCCAAAACAGCACCACCGAGCCCAAAACAAATCACATAATCCTAAACTTGATGTTAGAAGTTGCCTTCTATTACCACTACACTTTAAAAGTAACAGACCTCCTTGTTAGATTTGTCTAGAAATTAAGTTGACAAGTTGGAAATTTCATCTTGGTTGGTGGCCAACTTATTGGAAATTTCATCTTGGTGGTGGCCAAACTTTGAACATGTGAATTTCATATTTGGTGGCTAACTTGTACACATTGAAAAATTTTTTGGTAGGTGGCCAAACTTTGAACATATTGTTCTTAAAACTCAACTATAAATAGGCCTAAGTATTTCCATTAGAAATCATCTCAAAAACAAGTTCTCTCTTCCTCTTGTATTCTTCATTCTCCCACTTTGGGAATTCTAAAGAATTCCATTTGTTGTAATATTGGCGATATAGTGAAGTTATCATCCGGTGTGGTGCCCGAGGAGTAGACGATATTCTCGTCGAACCTCGTAAATTTGGTGTGTTCTCTCCTTTATTGTTTTTATTGGGTTCTTTTCCATTGTGTTTCAATATTCAATAGTTTGACAGGTTTATCTGCTGTGCAACCTTTGGTGGTTTTAATCTTGACATTTTAGGTCAATTTTAAAACTACGTTCGTGTGGGAAATAACTCGTTTTCTCCTACAATTGGTATCAGAGCTTCAGTTAAGGTTATCATGGTGGTTCCGTTGCTGAAAAGATACAGTTCGTGATATTGAATATTGTTTGTTAGAATTAAAATGCCAAAATACGGATCAGTTGAGACATCAAGCTCTTTATCTGGACCGGTGAGGAGGGTGATGTCAAATGCAAATTTCTCGGTGAAGTTGTTCGATGGATCCGGTCATTTTGGCATGTGGCAAGGCGAGGTGTTAAACGCTTTATTCCAACAAGGTATAGACATCGCCATTGAGGAAGAAAAACCCGAATATATAGAGGAGAAAGAATGGGGAACAATCAATCGTTTGGATTGCAGCACGATTCGATATTGTCTTTCCATGGAGCAGAAGTATGGCTACAAGAACGAGACTTCTGCAAGTAAGATGTGGAAAGCTTTGGAGGAAAAATTCCTGAAGAAAAGCTCTCATAATCATCTCCACATGAAGAAAAGATTGTTCAGATTTGATTATCAACCAGGCACCAATATGAATGAACATATCACTGCGTTCAATGAGCTAGTAGAAGACTTATTGGGCATTGATAAAACCTTCAAAGATGAAGATTTGGCTTTGATGTTATTGTCATCTCTTCCAAATGAATTTGAGCACCTTGAGACAACGTTACTTCATGGTAAGGATAATGTTACCCTTAAAGATGTAACTGTTTCTTTGTATAGTTATGAACTCAAGAAGAAAACCAAGAATGAGAGCAAGTACGAAGCAGCGATGCCATGGTGGCAAGAGGTCGCTCGAAAAGTCAAAAACCAAAGTGGAGAGGGAGATCAAAGTCGAAGTCCAGACTGGGAAAAGATGAATGTACCTTTTGTCATGAGAAAGGCCATTGGAAGAAAGATTGTCCGAAGCTGAAGAAGAAAGGAAAAACTGCTCCAGATGCATGTGTTACAGAGCATGATGCACATGACTCTGACATATCATTGGTTGCTTCATCAACAACATTCTATTCCGATGAGTGGATTTTAGATTCGGGTTGAACCTATCATATGTCCCATAATTGGGAGTGGTTCTCCGATTTAGTGGAACTAAATGTAGGAGTTGTTTATATGGGCAATGACAATGCCTGTAAAACTGTTGGGATAGGTTTAATTCGATTGAAGAATCAAGATGGATCAACCAGAGTTCTGACGAATGTCCGATACGTGCCCAGATTGAAGAAAAATCTCATCTCGTTAGGAGCCTTGGAATCCAAAGGCTCAGTAGTCACTATGAGAGATGGAGTTTTAAAAGTCACATATGGTGCACTTGTGATGATGAAGGGCATCAGGAAAAATAATTTGTATTACTACCAAGGTAGTACAATTATTAGAGCAGTTGCAGTAGCTTCCGGAGGTGATGATTTGGACGTAACCCAGTTGTGGCATATGCGGTTGGGACATGCTGGAGATAAATCCTTGCAAATTCTGGCAAAGAAAGTATTGTTGAAAGCTGCAAAGGCTTGCAAATTAAACTTTTGCGAGCATTGTGTTCTGGGAAAGCATAAGAGAGTGAAGTTTGGCACCACTATATATAATACAAAAGGTATTGTAGATTATATTCACTCAGATGTATGGGGTCCTTCAAAGACATCGTCTTTGGGAGGAAACCATTATTTTGTAACTTTTGTAGATGACTTTTCCATAAGAGTTTGGGTGTATCCGATGAAGTCTAAAGATGAAGTGCTTCAAATTTTCCTGAAATGGAAAAATATGATCGAGAACCAGACTGGTAGAAAGATCAAACGTCTTAGGACGGACAATGGAGGGGAATATAAAAGTGACCCATTCTTTGACGTTTGCCATGAGTATGGTATTGTTCGACACTTCACTGTTATACATACACCACAACAGAATGGGGTGGCAGAGCGTATGAATCGAACACTATTAGAGAAAGTTCGATGTATGTTGTCTAATGTTGGGTTAGGCAAGGCATTTTGGGCTGAGACTGTGACATATGTTGGCTATCTCATCAATCGTCTGTCGTCATCAGCGATAGGAGGAAAAACACCATTTGAGGTAGGGATGGCAATGGGTCGGGTCGGGTTTTTGGGCCACCCGACCCGAGAAGAAAGGGTTTTTCACCCGTGACCCGACCCGACCCGACGAAATTAAGGTTTCACCCGACCCGACCCGAATATATGACTTAGAAACCCGACCCGACCCGAAATAATAATAAAAAAAAATTTATTCAATGAAAACAGTGACTTAATTGAAAAAAATTATATATGGAGGGACATTATTGTAATTATCCCTAAATATATAGGATAAAATTATATATATTTTTCGGGTCGGGTCGGGTCGGATTTTTTTCACCCTAAACCCGACCCGACCTGAACAGTACATTTAAAAAAAACCCGACCCGACCCGAACCTGAAATTTTTTAAAAAAAATCCGACCCGATCGGGTCGGGTCGGGTCGGAACCCGTCGGATTCGGGTTGAGTTGCCATCCCTAATTTGAGGTATGGT